CGTTGTCCTTGGTCTGTCATTTTGTGTGTATGCGCGGCACACACCTCTCTCAAAATAGTGGAATAAGGCTGTGACAAGACCGTCTCTGAACTGTTTGTGCTTCTCGTCTCATCAATTTTGGATTCTCTGTGCCCTCAGTTGCCCACAGCCAAGGAGGCCGACTCTTAACTGTCTGCACCATTCTGCCGATTCTGTTACAGCCCCAAAGGCAGTTCCTGAACTCCCTATGGTCCCTGTTGGCTCTGTTGCAGCTACAGAGGCCAATATGTACAGTCTCCTCCTCCACTTCTGTTCCACCTGCTCTGTCGAGGTGGCCTCCTGCTCCGTCTGCTCAACCCAGCACCGACCGCATGCACTGGCTCTGATCCTCCAACTCTGTTCTGGCTCTTTGCTCCACCTCGGTCTCCAGCCCTGCCGTCCACAGTCCTAGCCCTCCGTCCCTTCCCATGGTCCGCCTCCACTCCACTGCCCACCTGAAATTTTTTTTTCAAAAAATCTGATTTTTTTTATTTATTTATTTATTTATTTTTTGCTGGGAACATCTGGAAGCTTGTCATCAGAGGGTGTGGGGCTCTTTTATATGAATGTGGCAGCAACTAAAAATGAATTAATTCAATCGGTTAAATCTTTAAGCAAAAGTTTCATGCCTGTTGGCTACATGACTTTACAAACATATTAAATAAATATAATTCAGTGTCTATTTCAATGTGCAGCAGCTGTTTCCACATAGTGCTCTTTTCACGTAATGAAATATTCTGTAACCCAACCTGTTAAATTTTTTCAATTGGGCAAATTAAATTAACATTTGACTTCTGGGACAACGGCAAGAAGGCATAGGCTGGACCTGCACCATCTGGTGGACCGTGAACTGAAGATACACAATATTGGAAGAATATTAAAATCCAACAGGAAAAAGAATAACCCAGAGTTTCCCTCATTTCAGGGTTAACATTCAAGTTTTCACTTAACCTCCTTTCTGACCATTATTGGCCCATGTACAGTTGTACTTTAGCTATGAATGATTATGAAGCCAGTCAGAGGACTCGTCTATTTAACAGCTGTCACTGTCGACCAATCAGCGTCCGCAAATCCCGGAACCTTTGGTGTACTGACCAACCAATCCGCTTCCCCCGACGCGTCGCGTCACTAGCGCTGTCTGAACAGTCTGGCGGGAGAGACCCCGGCTCGTGTTGTCCGTCAGTTTATGAACGGTGTTCGTGAAATAATATTTGTTTTTACATCAACACGTTACTCTAGATCAAATCTTGCGTTCTTTTTTCTTTTAATTTGGGAGGAGAGACCCCATAGACTTCTCTATTCTCCTGCTTTAACAGTATAGTCTACGGTATTGCACTTTCACAACATAAAATAGCTCGCAAGCTAAAAAAAAAAGTGAAGCCAAGGATTCGAGCGTTTACTTTAAAACGTCTGTCGAGTGTTTTCGTTTTACTGAGTTATTTTGGTTTTGGGGTAAATTGTGACAATTTCCTTTTTACTACAGTAGAGCAATGGCAAAAGTGCAAGTGTTAAATGTAGCTGTGCTGGACAACCCTAGTCCATTTGGAAACCCGTTTCAATTCGAAATAACGTTTGAGTGCATGGAGGACCTTCCTGAGGGTAAGTGTTTAAGTTTATTTTAATTTTGATGCATTTTCTCGATGGCTAGCTAGCTAGCTAACGCGCTAACTCCCCCTGATGACGTCATTCAGAATGGCGGGTGATTGAAGAATGCGAGGAAGATGATGCTTTAACTTATCCTTAATTCTACACATCTCAATTAAAAACAAGTTCAGCATCACTCTTCATCTGATTCTGCGTCTTGCCATGTCGATAAAAGAAAGCTCTGTGTACTTTTAAGAAAACACCGTGATAGGATGCGTGGATATAATTATGTTATGATAAACCTTTCCAAATTCCTTAAATAGCTAAAATATGCAAGTTATCCAAATTGAATCCAATCCAAATGTCAGTAGTTTGAAAATAGCATGTTTTTTTTCTCTCTCTCTTATAATTCCAATAATACCATGTCACATTACCGGTCAAAAGTTTGAAATATTTTTCTTTTTATAAACATTGATTTTTGAATGTCTATTATGTTCACTAAGTCTGCATTTATTTGATGAAAAATACAAAAAATATTAAGATTGTGAAAAATTATTGCTATTTAAAATCTATTTTATATTTAAAATAACCCTGTGATGCAAAACTGAATTTTCAGCATCATTATTCCACATGATCCTTCAGAAATAATTCTAATATGAATATTTGCTGCTCAATAAACATCTGATTAATATCAATGTCGAAAACAGATTCATTTTCAAGATTCTTTTGATGATTCTAGAAGTTTAAAAGAACAGCATTTGTTTAAATAGAAATCTCTTTTGTTAGTGTATCATAGTTTCCTCAAAAATGTAAAGCAGCAAAACTGACTTCATGTGATGCTGAAGACTGGAGGAATGGCTGCTGAAAATTCAGCTTTGTAATCTCAAAATATATTGAACCATTGGCTTATTGTTTTTATTGTATTTAATTAAATAAATGCAGCCTCAAAAGCATAAAGAAAAATTTAATACTTAATCATTCCAAGCATATTAACGGTAGTGTGTTATAGTTCTTTTTTTCTGAACAGTTAATTAATTTGAGCATTAACATGTAATCAATTGTGTTTCTGTGTTCTAGATCTCGAATGGAAGATTATTTACGTTGGCTCCGCAGAAAGTGAGGAGTATGATCAGACCCTTGACTCTGTCCTGGTTGGTCCAGTTCCTGCAGGCCGACACATGTTTGTTTTTCAGGTGAGTTGATAACATTGTCATTATGAGCCACAAATAATCTTTTAGAAGTTTAACAGCAATTTTTGTAAAACTCAATTTCATTTATTCGGTTTCTTTGCATTAGATTCAAATGTATTCTAACAACATTTTTCTTACTAAACACAAATTATTAACGAAAAGACCATACATGGTGCGTAACATGCAAATATGAACCTCATTGGTAGGGTTGGGTTGGGTACCAAAACATATATTACCGATATGTACCAGACAGAATCAGAGTGCAGATTTCAGTGCCTCGTTTTGATGCTGCTTAAATGTTGAGGTTTTTGAGTGAGTCATTAAACCTTTTTTTAAACTAACACGTTCAAAAATGGAGATTAATTCAAAGATAGATGTAATGAAACACGGAGTTTAAATTATTTTAACTTTGAGCGCCACTTTACAAGGCTCAGCTGAGAAGCAATTAGGGGTGTAACGGTTCACAAAATTCATGGTTCGGTTCGATACTACACAGTGGGGTCACGGTTCGGTACATTTTCGATACAACACAGAAAGAAATGCCAGAGAAATTTCCTTTTTTTTTTTTTTTTAAACTAACATCATATAAAGGATGACCTTTTTACTTTTGAGTTTGAAGAATGATGGATCTATACTTGACCTGTCTTAGCTGCATATAAAACAAAAACAGCTCCTTATAAAAAATGAAATGTAATATTTTCGTATTTATAAACAAATGCAAAGAAAATAACACCACTAAACCAAAATTAAATATGGATTAGTTTTACAATATCTTTATGGCCTTTATGTAGTGTCAAAGTTGTAGTCGTGTGAACTGTCAATAGAGGGACAAATATTTTTCTTCTTCTGTAAATGCGAAATATTTTGTTACTCTACCAAATAAATATGGATACGTATTTCCTGTAAGGGCTGTCACTTGGCAAAGTAGGGCTTACAAAATGGCTGAAAGCTAAATTAGTTTTTTTTTTTTTTACTTAAATATTACTAATTATTCAAATTATATTTGAATTTAAGAGGCATAATTTCAGGTAGGGGGAAAAGAAGCTTTTGGCTTGTCTCCTTTTAGGCCACAAGAGGGCGCAATGAGCTAAAAATTAGTATAAGCAATATATTGTGTGTGAGGATGTTGGAGGTGGAGATATTTTTATAGCCTTTTCTCACAGCACGTGATATAATTAAACTTATCAATTTGATGGCGGATCTAGGAAGGTTCAAGCGACAATCACCAGTGACAACTAGAGATTCACCCGCTGTAAAATGCAAAAGACTCACGACTGAGAGTTTGGAAAAAGAGACTGCAACCGGCCCATGCGAAAACAAGAATGGATATCTGAAAGGCTTTAAATGAAGTCACGCATGTAAATGTCAACTTTCTTCACTGGAACCCAGAGATTTAGCAGAGCATGAGTGAATTTTGTGTTGTGCATTTTAAACTACATGAGGTGTTTTAAAGGGTAAACTGTTTATGTAATGTTGTTCTGTATTATAAAATGTACGATTAGTGCAGTTATCCTGTAGTTACACCCAGTTTGAGTCATGCTATTGTTCTAAGTAATATTTGTCTTTTTTTTTTTTTTGCTACAGGCAGAAGCTCCAAACCCTAACCTCATACCTGAGAGTGATGCTGTGGGTGTTACTGTCGCGCTGATCACATGCACATACAGAGGACAGGAGTTCATTCGCATCGGCTACTATGTTAACAATGAGTATACGGACACGGAGCTTCGTGAGAACCCACCCGTTAAACCCAACTATGGACAGGTGAGATTCATTTCTTACAGACCCTGTGAAATTAAAACTGCAGCTTTCAGTCCATGTGTGTTCTAGATCTGTCTATAGAAAATGTACAGTTTCTCTTTTGGAGAAACAAATCGAGAAAAATATTGTTGACTCATCTTGCACTCACATGTTTAATACAAATTGTTTTCCAATGAAGTGCTCTCTAGAATAACAATGTCCTCCCCCTAAAGTCACCATAAAATAAAAATGGACAAATATATGTATTTAAAAGGATTCCTCTGTGCACATCCTTTTTTTAATTATTGTTCATGTGCCCTTGTAATTTTAAGTAAGGTTCAAATTTTCCTTTTCTCCAGCAACCTGTCACTCCACAGCTGACTGAAAACAGTTGTGATCTGCCTCTGTTTAGCTTACAATGCCCACTTTTCTACGACCCAGTCAATTCCTAATGGACAAAATGAAGTCCCGTTCTTCTTTTTATTTATTTTGTTTGTTTAGCAGTTTCGCTTGGATGTATGTCACAAAAGGGAATAAGTCTGTCTTGGACTAGCAATATCTGAGTAGCAAACCTTAATTTATGGCTATCACTTTTTTTCACTGTTTTAAAATTGAGCCCTTCAATATGTCCGGCCCCATCTTTTCTGTTTCACAGGAACTACGACACCACAGGAAAGAACACCTGTACTAGTAGTTTTATTAGGTCTTTAATAGTTTTGTTAAAATACACCTTGATATATATATATATATATATATATATACATACATTATTTTTATTAAAAAAGTAGACATTAATCAGTAGTAATGTTAACATTTTATTTGGATTCAACCTCATATATATATATGAAAATACGATTTAACCATATATGGAAATGGATGTGTCCTTATATGGTCACCAGTGGAGCCTGAATGTCATCTAGTGGAAAAGTTTGGTAGTGCGCAAAAACATTTTTATTAAACTTTTATTTTTATTTTATTTAAATATTTTTTTAAAGATATCAATCTAAAATTGTCAACACAACTGTTCAGATGTTTGGCTTTGTTTTTTATTTTATTTTTATTTTAGTTGAACATGTTTTGTAAAATATAAAATATTTTTATAAATTTAAACTTCTATAAAAAATAAAATGTTACTATTATGTATTTATAAAAATTACTTCTACAATAATCTGCCACATGTCCCCTTTAAAAAAGACACAAAACGTATCCCTGTGGTCCAAAATATTCAAGATTTATATCAAATTATATTTGGAAAATTTAATGCTCAAAAAGCAGGACATACATCTAACGGGTTAAACAACTATTTTCACAAACTTCAAAAAAAATGTGTTTTTTAAAGTCAGCAAGAGACTGGTGCTTCAGGAGGACTTGAGTTGAAGAGCTCTGACATACAACAAAGAAATGTTTTGTATTTTGGGGTTTGTCCAGTTGCATTTTAACAGCTCAAGATCATATAAAAATTTTATATCCAGATTTCACAACACATCAACTTGTTGAAACTTTGCATGCATGTTCAGGACCCTAAATGAGAAAGGCACAACATTTCAAGAAAAACAACATGGGTTTAATAGTATTTCAGACAGCTTGAACAACATAAATTATCGCTTATTCTTATATGTGGCTAAAACAATATCTTTCAGTATTGAAATAAGTGGGGAAAAGCTGCTTTTTATACATAACATAACAAAATATAACCAGAAAAGTTATTTTGGGGCTGTGCATTAACTCAAAAATGTAATAGAAATGATGTGTGTGCGTCAGCGTGTTGAACGTTTGCGTACATGTTTGAGAAAGTCACAATGTCAAGGGGACAAAAACAGGCATTTCAGTCAACTCAAAACTCGAAATGGGTCAAATTAAAGTGTCTTTCTTCTTGTGCATTTCTCTCAGCTCCAGAGGAACATTCTGGCTTCCAACCCTCGTGTAACCAGATTTCACATCAACTGGGAGGGATGTGCTGAGAAAATGGAGGATTCGGAGAACGTGGACCCCGCACCCAACGCCATGCTGCCGCCGTCCTGCGCCCCAGGAAAAGCCCCTCCGCTTGGCCTGGTGCCAGACAACTCCATGGACTGTTTGTAGTGACGCAGGCTCCTGTGAATAATCCTCACATCTCAAGGCTCATCCATGAGCTCAGGTCAATCTGGACACTGTGGAGGAGAGGCGGGAAAAAAAAAACACATCAGAGGGGGGTTATATCATTTTGTTACAGTTGTCACGCCTGTTTGAAACAAATCAGTGGTGTGACTCTGCACAATATCCTCCGGTACGCAATAAACATATTTGCTTTTCAGTTTGAAACCTGAATGGAGAGCTGGTGAGTCATGTGTCTGAGACATGATTTAGGTATTAGGATGTGCTGCATCTAATGCCGTTTGATCCAAACCCGATTCTCAAACTGAAAGGCGATGGAAGATCAGCTTAGTTGATAAGATGTCAGATGCATAATTCATTGAACAGACACAATCAGCAAAACCTAAAGGTTACAGCTACTCTGGATGATGCTTTTTTGTGGGTGGGACTGTATTATATTGTGTATAAATATATATATCTGTTTTTTTGTATGCCAGTTCACCTCGAAATAAATGTTTTGATACGTTACAATGCTCATTGAAGCCGTTTTACTTTGATTTGAGATGTGCTGAGAGTGGATGCAACTGTGCAGTCTTTTCATTCATAAAAAAGCTGTTGTGTTGCATTATGCAGGAGTGACAGAAGCTTGCTTGTTGTTGCTTGGCAACATGGATTATTGCAGCATCTGTGACAAGACCTCGGAGTTTGGGGATGCACTGATATATTTGACATTTTGGTCAATACCGATAACCGATTATTCTTTATATTTCAATGTCGATAACCGATATATTGGCCGATAGAAATCCCATTTTATTTATATATATATATATATATATAAAATTTGAGAGCCTCAAAAACAAAAGTCTCACCATTAAAAGCCATGTCCCAAGCACAGAATTATAAGCTTCTCAGAATTTTATGTAGTGAGTATAACAGACTTGCGCTGCACTTAACTGTGTTTTTATTTTTAAAGTGATTTCAATCAGATTTCAAGCTATTTAAAACCATCATGGCAAACGTGAAGGAAATACATTATTTATCGGCTTTAATATATCGGCCAAAATTTCGTATTGGGGCGATAACATTAAAAATTATCATATATCGACCGATAATATGGTGGCCGATATATTATGCATCCAACTCAAAGTATCATCATTTTTTTCATCGGTCTTCAATAATATCAGTGTCCCCACATGGAGTTTACTCCTTTATTGCACAGCATTATTAATGCAGTTGCTATGCCTGTTAAAGCTCGCACAGGTTTCCATCTCTTGCATGGCGAATCCCTTCCTTGCAACTGATCGCGCAAATTTGTTGCCGAAATGCAATACCTGCGTAAATGACCTCAGTGTGGTTGTTTTGCAGAAGACAGACCTCGTTTTAATATTCCGTAGACGTAGGGTGTTCGCGCGTGCCTCAAATTCTGACCAACTTTCTAAAAATAGACCATCTTGACGTCATGCAGCCTATCACGGATTAGTCTAGCGGGAGGGGTCTGCGCGGCCATTTCGCTAACAAACACACAACCGCAGATGATCATCAAAGGATTGTGAATGAAACCGATTCCGTATTGAGAGGGCAAAATACCGCAGCCGCTAACAAAGACGAAAAGCGAACAGAGAAACTTGTGTTATTAGAATGAAAATAGATGACGTTATTTGTCAGTTTGCGGGGGTGGGATAAAATTCTACAGATAGATATAAGTTGGCCAATCATCGCTCTCCCTGCGCTGGATTGATGACCTCTCGCCCAATCAGCTTCTGATTCAGCTAGCGCGTCATAAGCATAGCGACCAATAGGCTTCGCGTTGGGGCGGGTCTCATAGAAGCAGGAGTTCCCTCTAGCTGTGGATAGAGGATTAATGGAGGGGGTCTGACTGTCGAATAATGCGAACTACATAGTGCACAAGACCGAATTGCTTTATCAACATAAACAAGCAAACGTTCACGCTACCGAAAAGGTACGGAGAAGTGGGCGTGCTGCGACAGGAATCGCGCACGGACGGTGAAAACAAGGGCTTGTGTCGCTCAAGTCGAGGGCCTCGCTGGGGAAGCAGAGCAAGGAAGAGGAGCGAGAGAAGGAGACGAAGACGGGCTCTTAGTACTATTTCAACGGACTGGACCCGACCCAGAACAACTGAGAGACATTACCGAACCCGAAGCACAGCAATCGGACGGCTAATTACTGTTAGCTAGCTAGCGCTCGCTAGCTAGCTAACCAACTAACCAGCCACTATCAACCTCCAGACTTTATGTGATCTGACAGCATACTGTGATCCAGTGAGTTATGACCAGACATAACTAGTGCAACGGCCGCAGAAATCGTATGATCATAAAGGGGACGGAGTCTGAAGACAGTTGGCGTAAAGAAAAGTCGATTTAGATCTGCTATACCTGGCCTGCAATCATGGGCAACGCGCCCACCGCCAAGAACAAGGGCAATGAGATGGAGAGCGGTGAGTGCTTGTGTGTGTTTACTTGAATCAGTCGCACTCGGGTTGTGTTTCAAAGCATAGTGTTCCTGGACTCATCGTTTCCATTCATTTCCATTTAATGAATGACTGACTGACATCTTGGTTAAAGGGATAGTTCACCCATAAATGACCAATCTCTCCTCATGTTCTTTCTTTCTTGTGTGGAGCACAAAATGAGAGTTGCATTCACTTTTAAAGTAGGCTATATAAAAAATATATGACCGAGGCTGTCAGATCATAACATATCTTTGGGTTGAGAGCAACATAATAGTTAATAAGTAATGGTATATTTTCGACCACACTTACTTTACATTAAGTGTCTTTAACTACGGTGTGCCTACCTACATATAAAATAGACTTATTGTGTTTGTTGTGTATTGCAAACACTTGTGCTGCTATTGAAGTGGGATATGGGTATGGTAAAAGTTAGGGACAGGTTTGGTGGTTAGGTAAAGTAAAGAGTAATTGTAGATGATTCATCACAGCTGTAATTACATGCAGGTATTTTTCAAATATAAGGGTAAAAACATGTAAACAATGTAAAAATATACATATTCCCCATGTAAACTGGGACCATTTTTGCCATTAAAGTCAGTCTATTCTTCCCTATTGTAATGTACATCCTAGTGAAATGGCTGCTTGAACAAGAATAAATGTGGGGCGGGGCTTGATTTTGTCCATTTGGAATTGATTAGATGGTTGTGGGTTGCTATTGGTTGATCTCATGTGAGTGACAGGTTGATCCCGCCCTCACGCCAGTAAACGCATCATCAGAGAAGTCACTGCAAGAGGGAGGTTAAGTTATTTTGACTTAAAGATTACAAGGATATATATATACACTGAGAGTTTATACTGTAATGTTTCATAAAAAACAAGAATTGTTAATTTTGACTTGGCTAGGAGGATCCTTTTATGATCTTCTAATAAAGTCACTTTCACTTACTGCTTTGAGATGTTACAGTCAAGTATGATTGTTAAACCCGGCTTGTCCTTGATTATGACACATAGAGTGTCTAAAAAAAAACAACAAATTACAAAACACTGCCTATTTTTCATATTAAGATCCTTAATCACTTATCACTTCCTTTGCATCTAGTCATAACCATTTAATAACTTCTTGATAAACATCACTACCTTTGGATTTATTGGTGCTACCGGTTATTGTAGTGCTCAAGATTTTCACTTAGTTTAGCATTACATTTGATACTGTAGAAATATAATAATGGATTTACATTTTCTGCCTGAGAAATGGCTTGTAAGAGCGCTTCTAGGGAAGTATTTTCAAGGATTCTTTGTGTAAACACTTGAGATTGTCAGGAAGTTTTGTTGAATCTCTCTGACCAGCCTCTTGTTGTAATGTTGCACAAGCCAAGAACCCTTTAGGACACATTTGTTTGTTGCAATGCTTGGCAAATGCTATATTATGCTATTTGTCTAGAAATGTTAAAGCTGTTGGTTTATATCTTTAGTTCACCCAAATAATTTTAAGTTTTGCCATAATTTACTCACTCTCATGTTATTCTGAACCTGTTTCTTTCTTGAACGCAACAAAATATACATTTTAAAGTATATCCAAGCGGCACTTTTCCATACCATGAAATGACTAGGATTGTTGATCTCAATAAATGTCAAAAAGAAACATTAATCTAGTCCATAAGATTTGTGGGCCTCTTTATTCACGGATAATCTTCCCTTCTGTCACAGATCTCATTTCACATGGGCTTGTCTTCAAATTAGAGCCAGACCGATATATCGTCAGGCCGATATTAGGTATTTTTTAAAATATCGGTATCGGCAGTTATAATAAATGAATATTTCAAAAATAAAATAAAAACGGACGAATCACGCTTCAACCATGTCATGAGTGTTTGAGTTGTATAGTTTGTCCACCAGAGGGTACTCTACATCGTCCCTGTTGGCAACACTCGTATAACGCGCCACACATCCTGCAACCTGCAGACCCAGCCAGTGTCGGGCAGAGAGAACCAGTTATGCATTATCATATTATTTTAAAACTCATAATTAACTACAAATAACTAATGTTAGGGAAATCTGTTAATATTTTGTTGCGCGTTTCTGAAAAAAAAAAAAAAGAATAATATTGACCGATATATCGGATTTTAAAAATCCTTCAAAATCCTTTATTGGTTGGGCTCTACTTCAAATATACCACACGATGACACTGTGCATCACGCCAAGCACTATTGGTTTACTTGTCGCATTATGGCGCCAAGCCATTAGGAAATATTTTGTGGTAATAATCACTTAAATTTGTGTCTGTTTATCATACAAAGCTACCCTATGGCTTCAAAATACTTGGACCGTTGTGCACAAGTCTATTTGATTGTGCTTTTTTTGGATTCATCTTTCACTGTATTGAAAACATAGTCTTGAAAAGTTTTTGTGTGTGTGCGCGTCTTCCACTAAAGACACAAGTTAAACTGTTTCAAAACAAAACTGAGGTGAGTTTGTTGACTGGTCTTTTTTCTTAGTCTACAAGAAAATCATGTTCGTGCTGTTCTTTGGGAAAGTATCGTAAATGGAAATCTGCAAGACGATTTTGTGTATTGTTTATCTGTAAATTGTATGTTTACCATGTCCTATTTATAGAGAGCAATAGCTGTGAAGGTGTGGTCACATTAGCAAAAATGTCTTGTGCAACTCCATTAATGTAAAGATGTATGAGAAGTCAATTTCAAAGCAAGAAGCTTTCTGTTGGTCAATTCATAAAACTCATTAGAATGACTGGATTTCACCTGCAAATCTGTTTTTGTCATGACCGTGTGAACTGCACAAACCACATGAAATCCGATCTTGACAATTCTGATTAAATAGCCACTTCCATATGTGGCATTAAATCCGACACAGGTCAGATGTTTTGCAATGCGACTGCAGTCTAAACGGTCAAATTGGAATTAATGCGCCTTTTACGTCACTCGTCTAGAGCAACATTCATCACAATTCTGCGCTCATTGGAGTCACTTCAAAGATGTTACATACTCGATGTTATCAAGACCGTTGCGGAAGGCAGTCAGTGAAGAAAAGTGATGTGTCAGAACTCACA